TGCTCCGTTGGCCGTCATTCCGTGTCCGGCCTTGATGGTGAGGGCAATGGTGAGGCGACGCTTCAGCTCGCTGAGGGCCAAGAATGTGTGTCGATTGACAAAGGCTCTGATTCTGAGCATGCCTTCGCATGGCACGCCCGGATCCTGCAGATGCAGAATGTCATTGAAACAGCAGCATGTGCAGGAATCTGCTCTGGTTTGTCAAAGCGGACAGGACGAACCTGCAAAGCCTGCCTGCCAATGCCAGCCTGCACTCTCAGTTTATGTGCTGATCCGATTGTCAGCTTCACGGACCCTGCGTCGCAAGTGCAGGCGGCGTTGAGGCGAAGAAGCTTTGGAGACGGTGGTTTCTATCGGTATTTGGTGTTAATGGCTTCCCAGTCTACATGCGCAAAATTGCTCTGACGACAGGACGGGCGAAAGCTTAACCTGCTTTGATCACTCCGTGTCTTTGTCTCCAAGTTTTCAGGGTTCCCAGGGCTTTTCACTGTATTTTCAGCCTGACGAAGGACGCGTGGTGCCTAGTGCCGCGGAGATCTGATTCATGAGCAAGGCTCGACGTCTTCAGCTTGTGTTCTTGGTGTCAGCATCCCAACCCGTCAGTAGCTGCTCATCTAGCTCAGTTTGTCCTCAAAGAGACCTTCCGTGCCTGACTGCCTTCCTCCAGCACTGAAGTCTGAAGATTGATCTTGAGCCTGTCATGTAGAGAGGGCTGCGAGACCCCTTCAGTAGAGAGCTTCCAAGGCACCTCTCAAAAGCAGAACTTGAGGGGGCCGGCCGTTGAGTCGGGCCTCCAGATTACAAATATTCCCCCCTTAAGGACCGTCTGTCACCTCACCATCGACACAGTGCATGCAATCTCCTCCACAAGTGGGTGGAGCTCAGGAAAGAAGTCACCTCACTACTGGTTGCTATTCCTGCATGCTAGTAGCAGCATCCCGTGCGTTTTGACTTCTCCATCCGAGCTGGAGGTTTTCATCTCCTCAGGCTTTGTTTACGTGTTGCAGTTGTCGCAGACGTAAGTGGCATTGGTTTCGGGGCTCCGAGAGTTTTGCCGCACTAGCGGGATGCATGGCCCGTCTCAAAGCACTCAAAGCTAACTTTCCCCTTTGTGAACGATCCTCAACACGAAGCCCGCCAGAAATTGCCGTGCAGTTTTAAGACATCCGATGGCAGGCATCCAAAGGATCCTTGCTGGGCTTCGATGCAGCTGTCCAGTGCTGCCTGATTGCAGCCAGCATCGTAGCGTTGCTCGCAGCATGCTTCAGTGCAGTCTACTTGCAGTGCTAAGTACTGGTTGAAGAGGATCTCGAGGAACTCAAGACTGGCATCCAGAGAAGAAGCGAGAAAGCCCCATACCCGAAGCCCTAGATGCCCATCTCTCTTCTGACATGCTGAGGTGACCGATGCCAACTATTTAGAGGCTCGACTTTGCTGCAAACGCATACAAAAATGCGTGTGCAACGGTTCCATGGCATGTCGCGAATGTGGGACACGTGTCGGATGTTGCATTTCATGAATCATCATCAAATTGTGTTACGTATTCGTCTGTAAGGAAAACTAGCTAGTATGGTAGGCCCTATGCACTTCACAGTGTAGGGAGCAGTGGAGACATGGCATACTTCATGAACGCTAACTGTTGCGAGAAACTACGCCATGATATGATGCAGTCAGCAAGCATGCTGTTATACATTATGAACGGCACTAATCGGTGCGATGCAGTTATTGTTTGCTTGGTCATGTATGCCGGGAAACCTAGCACACGGACACAGGGATCGCGCCTGTCTCGTATGATAGCATTCCAGAATACTTACTTAGGGGATCCTGAAGCTTATGCGATTTGTGGGCCCTTGAGATCACCATCGGTCAATTGCGTGTCTTAATTTACGCGAACGCAAGGTGTTGAGCCCACGGCGCCCTTTATACTCCGGCCCTGTTTGCGCTTTGAAATCATGAGACCGGTAGTTGGTAGCTGGTGATAGTGTAATGCCGCAGCCAACGTAAAAGATTTGGTCTGGTCATGTAGACTTCAGATTGGCATTCTGTGACAATCTGCGGCACGGTAATGAACTCTCTGCTTCGCTACATTGTGTCCTCTGTTTCCCTAAACCGATTCCTGAAGTATAAACTGGTCAGAGCTCGCATGCCTCTGGCTCGAGCGGCAAGCAGTACCGAAGTTTCACGCTATCCATGTTTCTGAGGAAGCCTCATGAGTCATGAGGATGGCCCGATTCGCCAGTGTACTTTCTCTTCTGTCGCTCAGCACGTGTGCGGAAGATGCCCAAGAGCCACATGTGTGTGATGCCTTAGGGCAAGTAAACATGCTGCAGATGCAGACTGCCTTGGAAGATCAGAGCCGAGGCCGCTCGGCCAGGTGCGGGCACTTGCTGCTTGAGACCTGCGATCCGGCAGCGAACTACCCCTGCAGCAACAACTGCAGGATCCACACGAACCGGAGAGACTGCTACAGGCCTTTGAGCGCAGTCATGAAGGAGCATCCGGGAGAAGATGGATATTGCATCTTCAACCAGACTGCATTTTGGGTGAACTATACCGGCCCACAGCTTCGCTTTGAAGCTGATGCGAAGGAAGCCATTCTTACCATGAGGGGCGCCAGCTACCGGGGGATCAACACTGGCCTGCCGATCTTGTACCGTTTTGAAGGGCAAGAAATCAGCTCGCACATGGATGCAGACCACTACCTCTTTGATGACTTGTATGGCTTCTCTCTTGGCTTCCTTCAGAACCAGGGCTTGAATCCAAGTTGGATGCAGAATACAAGTCTTTGGAGCTCCCTGTCTGAGCAAGCATGCCAACGGATCCAGCAGACCTACCACTTCAAAAGCGAAGAGCTGATCTTGGCCGATTGGCTGGACTTCAACCAAGTCATTGCAGTTATGACGGCATGTAGTGCTGGAATGCCGGCAGCGGGATCCTCGAACCCTTGGGTGCTGAAAGCCGCCGGCTGGCACGGTCCGTCCGACTGCCGGCCCGTAACCAGCAGAGACTTTGCCAAGCATCATTATGTAAAATGCGTTCTGGGCATCAAGAACTCGGCCATGGACATGGCTGTTCTGAACGCACGTGCGTGCGTACTTCCGGGCAACCGAATCGGACATCTTACTGAGTGTGCATACATGCCAGCAGGCATTGATTCTTAAGGATCCTCGACAGCATGTTCGAAGGCCAGCAAAAGAACGGGACAAGCCGCCACGCCTTGCTTTGTATCGGTGGCAGAGGACCTTCGGTGGAGCGTTCTGTGTGAATGCGTTTGCACCGCTGCCATTGTAGCTCGAACCCCCAGAGCGTCACTAGTTTCGTGTATGTTTCACATTGGGAACATGGCATCGTCTCGCGCGGTTGCTTGGGTTCTCTCCATGGCAGTGCACCATGGTTTTGCAAACGACATCGCGGAGTGTGTGGAAGACTTTGCCACAAACATGTTGCAGCTCGAGCAAGTCCGTGTGACACTGCACGAGGACGAGTGTGGGCATCTTCTTGTGGACAGGTGCGACCCTCAGGCCAACTACTATTGCAGCAACAACTGTCGGTTTCATAGCCACAGAGCTGATTGTTACCGACCGGTTGAAGACGTGATGGCTGAACATCCTGGAGTGGACGGCTACTGCTGGTTCAACGGCACGGCCGGATGGCTAATGTATGCAGGTCCAGATCCCAACTTCGAGGCAGAAGCAGCAAATGGCGTCCTCGTTTTGAGGGATCCGTCCTACAAAGGCCTCAACACTGGAAAGCTCATCACTTTCAGAAACTTCGAGGGCGTGGCCAATCTCACGACGTACGCGGATTGCAGCCACTACATCTACGATGATCTCTATGCCTACTCCTTGGGCTTCTTACAGGGGCAAGGGCTGGATCCAGCTTGGATGAAGAACAGCTCACTGTGGATGGCTCTCTCCAAGAACAAATGCGATGAGATTCAGGCCACCTACAACTTCTCCAAGGAAGAGCTTGTTCTCGCCGATTGGCTCGATTGGAACCCTGTAATCGCAGTCATGACGATGTGCACCACGGATGATTACCTATATCCTGGCAGTTCCAACCCGGAGATCAACAAGATGGCCGGCTGGCGAAGCATCAGGGATTGTCGTCCTGTCACGCACCGTGACTTTGCGAAGCATCATTATGTCCCTCTGCTGCCATCGGCAAGTCTTAAGCAGCTTTCCGCATGGATACGAAGTGCTACTTAGTTACGCTTTGGACTCAAAGTCTTGGTGCTAGGTCAAATGTCTTCTGGGTTATCGCAACAGCGCTGCAGACATGGCGTACCTGAACTCTCGCGCCTTGCCGCAAGATATTATTATTATTCTGATTATTATTATTAATATATATATATATATACATATATATATATATATACACATGCACAAACCTTAAATAATTGGGTTCTCGGGAGTTGCTCCAATTAGAGAGGTATTTGGCCTTCCGGCACCCTAGGCCCCAAACACTGAACCCTGAACCCTTAGCCCTAGACCCTAAGGTCTAGAAAATACACTGTAAACCCTAAACCCTAAACCCTATACTGTAGGAAGGATGAAAAGGGCCCTAAAAAAAACCCTATACTTTACTCTAAGGCCTAGAAAGTAGTAGATTGTCATGTCTGCTCAACTCGGGCCCTGCGGCAGGTGCCTGTTTGTTAGAGGAAAACCGCATTGGCCACTTCACTGAGTGTCCTTACATGCCGAACGTGGACTTCTGAGCTGAGTTTTGGGAAGAGACCAGACAAAGGCAAGGCCGCAGTGCGGCTCCGCCCTGTTTTTCAGTTTCGCTCCGTATCTTGAGCGTGTAATCTGATCCGATGCAAAAGCCCGATGTACCTGAGCCTGCATCCCCGAGAGCCTTCCCGGAGAGATTCGTAACTTCTCGTGCATCTCTAAGACTTTCGAGAGCCCAGATCATCCGTTCAGCATCTCATGACATTGAACTCATTGAACTGAAGAAGGCTGCTTCCCATTGGCCGTAGAAGGGCATGAGACCTGCAGATGCACGAGACCACGCACATTGTCACTTCGTCATGCTTTGTGCACCTGCAGCTGGCTCCCTGCAGCAAACGACAACCCATGAGCGTTGCAGGTAGAGGTAGGCAGCCATGCCTTGCTTCTGTGCATATGTTTTGGGCCATGTTGTTGATGGTATCGCACGTGGCTGCAGAGGTGCGTGTCCAGATGCGTGTCCAAAGCAGTCTTAGAAGCATAGCATGACGTAGCAACCCATAAAGTAACTCTTTTGGAATTATCCGGGACCCCTAAAGTAACTCCTATTGCCTTGTAGTGTGGAGGCCGAACGGAAAACCGAGAACCCTGCAGCAAGCCTGAGAGGATGAATGCCACAAAGCATCCTTCCTTCAGACCGACATCTTCGTGAGACTGGAACGAGCATCTTGGCTGAAGCCTTAAGGTTTCAGGGTTTGAGGGTTTAGGGTTCAGGGTTTGTGAAGGCTGGAGTTTAGGATTATGTTGCACCAGACGTTGGATTGACAGCAGCTCCTCCCCGCCCAGGATCTTCAGACGAGCCCCCTGCAACAGCAAACCAAGGCCTGCGGGCTTGTTTCCTACTTTGCTTCGATGGCACGGCTAGTCCTTCCAGATCTGGTAAACTGGATAACTATATTATTATTGTTATTATTATTATTTATTATTATTATTAGTATTTTTAAGAGGTGCAGCACAAGCCAGGTTAGGGCTCTGGATTCGAGGAGCGTGCGTTTTTCTCCTCCTATCCGGCAGGCTTGCAATCCACCCAGCGGGTGGCAGGGTATTTGTGCGGCATTGCAAGCGGAGGACGCGCTGGCGCATGCACCAGGGTGTTTCCCAAATTTTGACGGTGCCGAGTTTTCATGTCACAGCTGGTTAGCTTGGAAAGCTTCAGGACAGGTATGTGCCCATGGAGGAAGTGATTTCTAGGTATGCTGGCACCTCTGCTGCAAGATGGTCATGAGGGTGGTTGTCAAAATTATGGTCCCTCTTCGGGTCCCTATTATAGTACGGCACCTATTATTTAGGGTACCCCAAAAGGGACCATAATTTTGACAACCACCCATGAGAAGAAAGTCCAAATTTTGTCGTTGCTGATGTGACACTACGGATTGCTTCGTTGGTTCGTGCAAGTTTTCCCGACGGCATCATGTCACAGGGCTTCTCTGCTTTTCTGCCCATACTTCCGTGGAATGATGTATGTATGTAGAGTGGGCCGATGGGATCTCGGCCGAGAACATGCAAGCTGCACATTTGCCATAGAACATCTTTGGTAAGAGCGCCAAGGCCAGCGATTTTTGCTTCAGGCATTCCAACTTACAATCTGAGAAACCTTCACACACGTTTGCTTGGTGCCAAAAGGGCTTGGCTGCAGTGTCCGAAATGCAACTTGTTCTGGGTTGCGGATTTGGGCCGTCGGCAGTCTTGGCACCTGTACAATTCGACATGGGGAAAGGGATGCGCTATGACGCTGCTATGATGTACGGAATCCAGAACCCTGGAATCCAGAACTCACAGGCCACCGTCTGGTAGAAATGGAACCCTATAGCAGTCCCTATACAATCCCCAATAATAGTCCCCATAATCCATCCCCCAATTCCCCGCTAGGCACCAGGGAGATTACTTGGAGGGTCGGGGGACTTAGCAACTGTCTCTTCTCGGGACTTGCAAGTACCATAACCCCAATTAGGGTCCCTTTTAGGGTACTTATAAGTCTACTTACTACCTACTTACTAAGTTCCCCGACCCTCCAAGTAAGGTTACTGAAGTTAGCGCCTTGCCCAGGCTTGGATGGCTATTGCATATTTGGCGAGCTGGGTAACTGGACTCGAAAATGTGCGATTGCTCGGTGTTACGCCCTCTGGCCGCTATTGATCCTGAGCACATGCCCGAAGCTGTTAACTTCGACCAAACCTCAAAAGGTTAGGGTTTAGGGATTTAGGCATTTGTAAGACAAGACTGGCCTGTTCAAGCCTATTTAAGGAAGTATAGTCCTCTGCCCCCCTCCCCCTTACCCCCGTTAAGGGTCCCTATGATCCCGTATCTGCCGCCGATCGGAAGGCTGATGAAAACCGCGTGTTCCCACACCCTTAATTCTACCTTCTTAATAATTATCTATACTATTTTTGAGGGGTCCTTATTATAGTTATAGCATAATGGGCCCCAAAACCCTATTCGAATTATTAAGCTGAAGATCACCACAGCAGTCTCTTAACCCAAAAGCAGACGTTCTAAACACTGAACCCGCGAGCACATACACTTAGGAGAACGCTCGCCCCTTTGCCGAGAGCTACAGTGACTGGTACAAGACCTACTTGCTGGACCCGGTCTCGACACCCAAGAAACTAAGGACAGCATCGAGCTTCAGGGTTTTGGGAAAGGCTTTTGGGGCCCCCAGCTTCTGATGTCGTCGCGGTCGCTGTCGTCGCTATCATCGTGCTTGTCGTTGTAATTGTTGCAAGGTTGCTCACCGTAGCCCATATCGGCTAGTCCGATCAAGACTGTCATTCGGATCATAAGCAGTCAGGAAACCGACCCCTGCGCCGAGTCATTCGTCTGAGCCCAGCCCAAGACTCACCGAGACTCACACAGAGGATGCCGAATGGACGGGAGATCACCATCCGCGACCACCAGTATCCGCTCGACGACCTTTACTGCTTGGCAAACGGATGGTATGATCTTCCACGCTCACCCACCGTCAACAACTTTACTTACCTGGTTCAGGAGCTTCGGGAACGGTTGAGGGGACTGGGGTTTAGGCCCTGACAAACTACGTCCTTGTTTAGTGTAAAGTCTGAAGACTCCCAGTTTTTGCGCCATCAGGTTTCGGAGTCTTCGTGCCGTCTCTTAGAGACGACGGTGCCAAGCTACCACAACATGACCCTCAACATGCTCATCAAGGACGGGGTCTAGGTCTTCAGGCATTGGGGTACTGGTGCCGTTGCTTCTTGCGAAACCTCCCCACGCTTTCTCCAGCACTGCGGCTTTCGTTGAATGAAGCGCACCCTTAGAGGCTGTAACGTCAATGTTGAAGTGCAACAGGCCCGAAGACCACTCGCAGTCACTGAATCACTCGTCCTTGAAGGTCTTTGAACACCAAACCCTAAACCTAAACCTAAACCCTAAACCCGCCCTAAACCCACCCTAAACCCGTCAAACCCCTAAACCCCTAAGCCCTCAACCCTCAAAAGCCCTGAACCCCCCAAACTCCTAAGCTGCGAGCTTTTCCCCCCATCGAGGAGGGCACGCGAGACGAGAAGCGACTCGAAGAGCTCCTTCGCAGCTCTGATCCAGCTACTTGGCTTAGGGTTCCTGGGCTTAGGGTTAGGTCCATGTCCGGGCTTGCAAGGGTTTAGGGGTTTGGGGTTTTTGGGTTTCTGGGTTCAGGGCTTTGGGTTGAGGGTACAGGGCTTACGGTTTCAGGGTTTAGGGTTCAGGGCTCGGGGTTTAGGGTTCAGGGCTTGGGGTTTAAGGTTTTGGGCTTCGGGCTTTGGGTTTTGGGGTTTAGGGTTTTAGGGGTTCAGGGTTTAGGGTTGAAAGTTCTGAAGTTTAGGGGGTTCTGGGGTTTCAGATTTAGGGCTTTGCAGTTTCCGTGTTCGGGTTGAAGGCTTCATGTTTTGATTTGGGGTTTGGGGGCTTCTGTGTTTAGGCACTTGGGGTTTATGTGTTTAGGGGTTGAGAGCTTTAAGGTTTAGGGTTTAGGATTCAATGCCCTAGACAAGCGGTTGTGATTAGCCTTGGGACGGGCAGCAGGTGCACATTCGTGGCAGCACCAACAGTCGTCAGCACGACAGCTGCAGCAACATCAACCCAACAGCAGCAGCACCACAACCATCATCACCATCATAATTACAGCATCAGCATCAGCATCACCAGCATCAGCATCAGCATCACCAGCATCGTCACCGTAATCAAAAATGACCATCAGGATCACCTGTCATCGTCACCAGCACAGTCACCAAACGTAAGCATTTCCGTCATCGACAATCCGTGGTCGTGGCCAGGGCAATGGTCGTGTCGATCAAGAAGATGTCGGTTTACCATCGTGACAGTGTCAGACCAACATCACCATCACCGTCATCTTCTTGTCTATCAGCAACAAGAGCGATATAGCCAACAGTGTTGCGGTAGTCATTGCCGTCACCATCGCCAGCGTCGCACTGTCTAGCTCATCGGTTCATCTTCAGGTGGTGGACGTAGACCAATCCTTGGTGGACGGCATGAAGTTCCATGCGGCTGCCAAGTGATCCGCGTCTTAAACGTCGAAGGGGGAGGGCAACCAACTGGTTCTGCTACCTGCTAGGAGTTTGCGCAGGAGTCGGCCAAAGTGCGTATGAGGCTTCCTTATGGCCACAGAGTTGGGCTTGAGGGTCTGAGTGCCGGCGTGCTCGATTGAACCAAACAGCTGTTTCGGGATACTTGTAGGGTGTTACTTGTTTTCCCAAATGCTTCCGGGAGCAATTGTTCATACGTTGGTGACCCAGTGATATTACGATAAGGTTTTGGGGTTTTGAGTATGCACCCCTTCGGGCTGAACTCTCTTAAGACTGAACGATGTTGAGACTGTGAGGCTTGATCTAATTTAGGAACATGCAAGTGGAGGGCAAACCTAACGCACACCACAACAAGGATGGAACGCAACATGACCAGCAGCCATTCGGACATGTCACGTCTTGAGTGTATTGAGTGTATCAGTGGGTGTGTCTAGTTGCGCTGTTGTCTAATCGAACAGTCCTGATAACCCAAATATGTACTTCTCGTGCGGCACCGCGAGCTTGAGGGCGGTGGACAGGGGCTCAAGTTTCGGCAACCAAATCCCAAATCCCAAACCCAGGTGTGCTGGCAGGTGGAAAAGGCGCGGTCTGTGACATTGCGAACTGCGCGATGCGGGGCTGCCTCTCTTTCGACGGAGCTGTGGGGTATGCGGCGCGAGGTGACTTGTCATTCCCAAGCCCCATAGGGCTCGGCTCTAGGCCACATCAGAAAACTCCATTATGGCCTTGAAAATGTTCCGCTAACGCAATCGATGCAGTAGAAAGTAAATTTGTAAATTCACTCAACTTAGAGGAAGTAGACAATAAACAATCCTAGGCTTGGGTAGTACTTGTTTGAACCGAGCAAACACGAATGAGGTTGTAGTGAGGAAAACACCGAAGAAATCAAGACTTACAGACGTACAAAATCCACAGCAAAGAAATCCAACTGGTTTCGGAGTTGGTTCGAGAGGCGTGTATCAGACGAGGTGGCCATATTCTGAGAACGAGCGCGGCGGACTCCCTAATTCAAGTCAGTCGCAAACCCAACTCCACGAAGGCGTTCGTGATCGGCAAAACGGAGGGTCGAAGGATCGAAACAGTAGCACACACTAACGAGTAACTTTTGGAGCATAAGTTGTCCAATCCTCGGGCTCAATATTTTTGTTTAAGTTTAGGTGATTCAGGTGCGCAAAACCAAGATATTTTCCAGAAGCAAGAAACCTCTAATTTTAAGCTGCCCCTCGTGCCCACGGTTTCGCCTCGTTTCTGCCTAAGTAGGCACGGGACTTTGGTTCAGAAAAAGCACACGGCCGGAGATGAGAATCTAGAGACCTTTTTTAGCTGGTCCACAAACAAACTCTCAAATCCTAAACAGTGAAGACACCGAGTGCATCGGTGCTATGATTCCGCTTGCTGAGGTGAGTGTCCTCCAGTGTAGACGCAGGCCGTGCTCCTTCAGCAACGCAAGTCAGCCATATAAAAAGGCACGACTGCCGCAGCCCCTACACCAAAACGCTTGTGTGGCATAGCTCGGGCAGATAGGGGTTTACGACAAATCATGTGGAGAGTTTGGGGTTTTGCGGGTGTTTTGAGCAAGTCTTTGTAGGTCATAGCACTGAGGCACAAAAACACCCGGGTCGTGCTAGATAACAGCAGTTGTATATAGGGATCGTCAGCGAATATTGCAGTAAGATGTTGGGCCTACGATAGTATGAGGACAACAGACGCCCCGAAGTCTCTCCTAGCAACATCATCATTTTCGTGCTCACCGAGCAAAGAGACACCCTTTGACAGATTCGGTGAGGCTGAGCGATTTTGTGATGATCTCTAGTAAGGCCGAACTGCCAGCCCTGATGACTCCTTGCGTCAAACTGCTCGAAACACATCAGAAGCATACAGCTTTGGCATAAACCCGAGAATATATCTCTACCCGTCCGTGCATGCCGATCTGTTCAAGCTGGGCACGGGGCCTAGGGGACGACGGCCAATTTCCCTGTCTGCAGAGGAGATTCTGTGGTTAGTGCGGCAGCCCGAGACCATCAAGTAAGTAGAACTTGGGGTTTGACTTCCGGCTTCCCTAGCAGCCAGCAGTTTCGCTAGTAGCGATGGAAAGTGGCCAGCCCAGTCGGAAAAGCTCGAGCCGAGGCGCAGAAGATACTGTCGACGAGGCAGGCTTTGCCTTCAAATTCTTTTTATGGCACAGTCAACACAACGACAACAACAACAGCAACAACTACAACAACTACAACTACAACAACAACTACTATTTCTGCCCTTCTTCAATTCCTCCTACTACTCCTATCCTACTGCTCTCCTACAACAGCGACGACGACTACTACTACTACTACTACTACTACTACCACTACTGCTACTACTCCTACTGCTTCTTCTTCTTCTACTACTACTACTACTACGATTACTACTACGATTACTACTACGATTACTACTACTACTACTACTACTACTACTACTACTACTACTACTACAACTACTACAACTACTACTACTACTACTACTACTACTACTACTACTACTACTACTACTTGCTACTGATACCTGCTGCTGCTACTTGCTACTGCTGCCAAAGCTGGATTAGTCTTTTCGGGATTTTGGCTCCAAGGGCTCGGTTCCGCCGTTGAGACTCAAAGTTTAAGGCTTTAGGGTTTCATAGGGACCCTTAGGGGGGGTAGGGGGGAGGGTGGTGGGGTACTAATTAGGCCCTAGTAGGTCCTTGTTGTCGGCATTCAGGCCCCCAACCCCCCACTCCACCTACCCCCCTAAGGGTCCCGATGAGGTTTGGAGTTTATAGTTTTGGCTATAGCAGGGCCTCGGGCTCTGCTCTTCCTCAAACACTTCACGCAAGAACGAAGCGGTGTGAGGTTCTGAAAATAACAGCGCTGAAGATAGGCTGAAAAGCAGGCTTACCACTAGTAGGATGTAACAAGCACATGAAATATTTTTAAATTGTTAGTACAAGGATTCAACACCACACAACCCCCGCTTGAAATCTCAACAAATCATGCAAGATCCGAGTCCGTCCAGAGCCCTTCAACTTCAACTTCCTCCTCATCACTGGAAGAGTCCATCAGGGGCAGGTCAGCATCCGTCACTTCGATTTTCATCGTCGGCATCCTCCGCTTCGGGCTTCGGGTTAAAGTACTTGGAGGTTCATGGGCAGGTATAAATGGGGTTATAAGTCCCCTAATAGGGGTTATAACCATAGTTACCCTAATTACAACCCCACTTATAACTACCCATGAACCTTCAAGTAGGGGCCTTAACAATTAGGGTTTAGGGTTTGGGGGTAGCTTATACCATAATGAGAATAAAGAACCCCAAAACCCTATTCTGATTATTAAGGGGTCTCAGGTGGTAGAGGGCGATTTCTCCAATTGGGGCTTAGGCTCTGTGTGGGGTTTCCGGCTTGGACCTGATACCATTCAGGTACATCCTTGTGCTAGGAGGGCAGCACACCGCAGATCCTCAAATCCCGCAAAGCGATCCGAAGCGCTTAGACGGAGGTTTGAAGACAACACCTTGACCAAAGACATTGAAACCATCGCACGTTACCTCCACCCCGAATGAGAACGCTGAAGACTAGAGACTGGACACACCCTTTCAGAACTCTGGGAAAAACAGGAGATTACTACTGTAATTACTCATTCAAGGCTCGAGGGGTCACAGCTAGACATGATGGGCCCTGAATTTATCGAAAGGATGCGGATCTGAAGCACTTTGTCGCGAAGTGCACAGCAATGGACCCCTGCTTGTAAGTATTGTATGAACCCCAAACCTTATTCCAATTGCTTAGGCTCCTAGAACCCTATACAGGTTCTATTTTCAATAGCCATGCCATAGCAAGACTCTGGCACTTCGTGGTTTGAACGACGTTGGATTCCTGATGAGTTGCACTCAACATTGTGGCATCCGATACGACCGTAGGACGGCTGGGGACTGATGCGATATGATAAACTGCGGCGACGGCATCGCAATGTCGTTGAGCGGAGCGTGCTCGACTGCTGTTCGCTGCAAGCGTGCAAAGTTGTGATTTCACGCCTTGGCGCCCGCGGGGAGGCCATGTAGAGCTAGTTGCTGAAGCC